AGAATGATAAAGATGAAAGAGAACGAATCTTAGAAAATATTTTTACAAATATTTTAATGAAAAGAAGTTATGATAAGAAAATTTTTCCATCTTGGTTATTATTTGAGACAGAAAATAATCTTTTAATACATCGTACTCAATATTCACTTATAAAAGTATTGATAGAAGAAACAGACAATAGTATTTATCAGTTGAATATGGGAGAAGGTAAAACATCAGTTATATTGATTCTACTCAGTGAAATGTTAGCTAATGGTAAACAGATTGCTAGAATTAACTGTTTAGAATCATTCATGGGTGTTATGCAGGAATTATTAAAAAAGAAATTTAGTAAATAATTACAAAAGAAAATACATGTAATGCCATTTTCACGAGGAGTTATACTTTTAAAAGACAATCTTGAAAGAATTAAAGAAATGCTTACTGAATGCTAGAATGGAAAACATGTTCTATTCTTAACACCTGAACAACGCTTGTGTTTTAAATATAAAAAAAAAAACAAGAAATGTTCTTGGAATATCTAAGATCAAAAGATGCAGATGATCGCTTTGATTGAAATGAATATCAATATCAATCATATACTTTTACAATCAACCGAGGGTGTGGGTGTCCTCTAGTTTAATACTCAGATCTACACCCACACCCTGGTCTAGTAACATAGTTTTTAATTTCAGTCTGATATTGAAAATAGATTTGGATGAAAGTGCCAATGTTTTTGCACTTTTTAACTTCACTCTAATGTACCATTAATTGATGGAGTTGTTCTTTTTTTCTAACAACAAAACTTCACGTTATAATTTTACTTCGTAAAATTAAAACAGAGAAATCGAATGAGAATACAATTCAAGTAGATTCATCATCAATTCAACATATATGAAATTGTAGTGAAGTTAGACGAAAGACGTAATACTACATAAATACTTTTTTTCATATCCAATTTCCAATTGATCGGAAGAAAAAGTAATTGAATAGATGGATTGGTCCTATCTATCTATCTACCTATCAAATAGATCGATGGGCACGTAGGTAAAAACATCATAGAATATAGGTTCTATATCTTCATTTGCTTGCTTACCGTACTATTTGATAGATAGGTAAATAAATACTTTTTCTGTTTTTCTTTTTATTTTTGTGTTATAAAGACGATTGAAGAAATCATTCATATTGTAATTCACTTCTTTTATATATTATTTTACATTGCTTATTTTATTCTAAAATTTGAATAATTAAGTAAGATTTCCTTCTTGTTAACAATTTCACTTATTTACAATAATAGAATACAAAAACTGAATAAAAATATCAAGAAAAATAAATAATCATAAAGTAATCTATTTAACTAAAATATTTTTATCCATAAAAAAACTGATCAGAAGTTTTTTTTCGATTTTCTTATAAAGTTTCCATATAAATATTTTTTTTCTCGATGTAAAGAATGAAAATTTTTTCTTGAATTTTTATTATAAGTCTAATTTTAATTTTAGTTTAATACATAAAAATAATAATGAAAATATCAACAATACAGAATGATAATATTAATATTGAACATCATCATCATCATCATCAACAACATAAAAATATAAATTATGGCAAACCTTATTGTGCTGTTTTATTAGCTGCGTTTTCTTCATTAGGTGGATGGTTTTTTGGTTATGATCAAGGTGTTACAGGTGGTATTGTTGTTATGAGTTCATTTAAAAATGATTTTTGTGTTGATGTATTTGCTAATTCAAGTACATGTGATCTTCCAATTAGTTTATTGCCGTCGGATTATAGAAGATTTTTAGTTTTATTTACATTATTATATAATGTTGGATGTTTTATTGGTGCTCTATTTATTTCATCATTAATAGCAGAAAAATATGGTCGACGAGCAATTATTTTTACATCTGCTGTTTTATTTTTAATTGGAACATCGATGGTCATATTGCCACCAGGTCGTTCAAAAGGAGTTATGATTTTTATACTTATTGGACGTATTATTGAAGGTACAGGTGTTGGTTGTTCATCATTTTCATGTCCATTATATGCATCAGAAATAGCACCAACAAATTTACGTGGAATGTTGTCTGGCTTTATGCAAATGACTATTGTAGCTGGTTTATTTGTTGCTAATATTGTTAATTTTCTATTAGAAAATCATACATGGGGTTGGAGATTATCAAATGGTATTATATTAATTGCACCATTAATAATCATATTTGGCATTTATTTTTGTCCAGAATCACCACGTTGGTTATATAAAAATAAAAATCGAAGAGAAGCAAAAATAAGTTTAAAAAGAATTCGTCGAATAAATAATGTTGATAATGAATTAAATGCAATATCAGATGCTTTACAAGAAGAAAGTAATCAAATATCAATTACAGAAATATTTCATCAAAAACAATTACTTAAACGTATTATTATTGGTATGAGTATGCATTTATTTCAACAAGGAACTGGTATTAATCCAATATTTACATTTGGTGGTATGATTTATGAAAATATTCTTGGTACAGGTATTATATCATTATTAATATTATCTGGTGTCAATTTATTCAGTACAATACCTGCATTATTTTTATTCGATAGATTAGGACGTCGAAATTTACTTATTTATTCAGGTTTAGCAATGTTTATTGGTCATCTTGTTGCAGCCACAGTATTTTATACTGGATGTGATGTTATTCATGAAACAATTAACAATACAATGATAAATCATGATATTGTTAAATGTAAAACAAGTTCTGGTATAATTATGTTAATTTTTACTGCTATATTTGTCGCTTTTTTTGCACTTTCATGGGGACCTATTGCATGGATTTATGCAGCCGAAATTTATCCACTTAATATACGTGCTAGAGCGATGTCATTAACAACAGGTAGTAATTGGTTTATGGGTATTATTATGGCATATATATTGGAATTAATAGCACCATTAGGTATACATGGTGTTTTTTATTTATTTAGTTTTTTAACATTTATGGCTGTCATTTTTGTTTATCTTTTTTGTCCAGAAACAAAAGGAGTTTTACTTGAAGATATTGAAGACGTTTTTGATAATTTTCAATTGAAAAATCGGAAAATAATTCGTATTATTAGAAAACCATGTCAACGAACTATAATCAAAACATATTTGTAATATTTTTATTTGAAATAAATAAAAATAAAGGACGAGAAACGATTTGCGTTGATTTCGGCCCAATTAGAAATCATCGACAGTTTCATATGAAACTTTCAGCAATTGTAGAACTCATAGTTAGTAGTCACTCCTCTAAATATCAGCCTAATCGGTCGAAATTTTCCTATACTTTGATACTCAGCCATATAGGTCCTATAGAACCATCTAATGGTGAAACAATCATTCATTTTAGGCAGTATATACAAATGCTTTGACAGTTGGTTTATATACCATTCGATAGAGAATCTGATTCGGAACAAAAAATGTGCAGATATATCTGGGTGTGGGGTGTGGATATAAATAAAGAGAACACCCACACCCTACAACGAAGAAGCTCTGTTCGATGAACGAAAAGTTAATGATGACGATATTTTAGAATTAACAATAAATGTGAAACAACGTCAAATTAACTTATTGAATACGCGTACAAAGAAAGAAGAAACTCTTATGTTCAATACTGAGAATTTTTTATTTCCGTGGCAATTGTATTCAGGTTTGAATTGTTGTGGTGATAGCACACAACTTTTAGGATATACGTAACTACCGAACCGAGACTATCTTCTGTTAAACGAAGAGAAGTTCTTTCGGAAAAAAATTTTTAGAGTAACTTATTATTTTTGATTTCTCTCTCTATAATTTTTCTTCTTAACTAGAAAGACATTACTAAGATGAAACGCTTACTTGTCTGTTGAGTATATACTCAAAGCATAACAAAGAGGAACATTTTTCAGGCTATTATTGTGACTACAGCACAAGAAGTTATCCATCAATTTTTTGTGAAATCTACTAAACACTTGTTTGTCTCATTTCAATATAAAACAAAAAATAATAATAAAATTACACATCAGACCGCAAAAAATGAATCACATACGAAACTCAATTACCATTCTTTTCTATTTAAATGTGTAAGTCTGTTGTTTTCAATTCTTCTTTATTGTTCATGGGTGAGTATAGTAGGGTGTGGGTGTAGATGTTATTGAACTGAACAGTTACATTCACACTCACACCCGCACTCTTGTGCAAGAAAAGTTTTGTTAATTGAATATCATTGTCATTCAAATTATTGATGTAGTTATCAAGCCAAATTAATTTACAATTTTCAAATCATGTGATGTGTTCAAAATCAAAATCATTGATTGAATTTCAAGTTAAAAGATGGCCTATAATTTATAATAAATCAAGAGTTATCAAAAACGACGTAAGCTATTTGTAAAAAGTAACAATAAATGATATAAAAGTTGCAGCTTATCACATTAATTGAAAAACGAGATTTTATGGTTGTAGTGAAATATACAATATCTTATTTTTTATTGATTGTAGAATGAAAAATTTTGCATTAAAAAGAAAAGACCATATGCAAAATCATACTTTTAATTGTTAAGTGGGTATACAAAGATGTCTACGAACAAGCATATTTAAGGTTTTAACATGTTGTAAAATTTTGCTTATCATGTTGGTGCTCTTCGTGTATAAGTATATTATAACCAAACATTATCAGAAGAGGTTTGGGTTGTCTGATCGTAATTCGATAAGATTTTGAGTAGCAGCCAGATTACAAGTAACGCGATATATGTGTCACTGATCCTTTACTAAAGAGATATTATCATGTTAAGCAGATGGCAAATGAATACATGATATTTGGCGTGTGAGTTGACAAATGCTACAACACCCACATCCAGCCTAGTTCCCATGCGTGGGTGAGCTTTATTTGCTCGTTACGATTCTATCAGGTTGTTTCACAATTATACATGCGCTGAAATAAAACAGAATATAATTCAATGGTGTTTATTACTCAGTAAAGAAAAGAGGAAAAGCACAAGCGTATAGGCTCTTAAGCACTTCAAACGATACTGAGTTTTTGTACTCGATGATTCCAATGATCGACGACGTAGAGATTGCCGTATCGATCGAATGCCAAACCGTAGGGATGACTGAATTGGTTCGATACTTTTCCTTGACCATTTCCACCAGCAATGACAGTGCCCTGTGTGGCTCCTTTGACCCAACGCACGACTCGATGATTTATAGAGTCAGCCACATAGATAGTGCCAGATTGATCGACAACAACTTCTTCAGGACTTGCCAATTGGTTAAGACTCTTTCCTTGTTCGTTACCACCAGCCACGACAATGCCTTGTTTCGCACCTTCTACCCATTTCGTTACACGATGATTATACCACTCAGATATGTAGACTGAACGATCTCGATCGACAAATACATATTGTGGCCAATGGAGTTGATCGAGACGATTTTCACGTCCGTTGCCACCTGCAACCACGGTACCCTGAGATTCTCCTTTTCGATATCGTCTCACTTCATCTGTGCCATACCCAACGACATAGAGAGATCCGTTCTCGTCCATTGTCAAACCGTGACAACTAACGCTTGATATGATTGTTTCTCCACGTATCCTATTTACACGAGGCCATCGAATCACTCTTTTATTCACATTATCGCATATAATGAGACTATTTGTTTCTTTGTCAACAATCACATCCGATGGGCCAGCTAATTGATGAGCCTCATTGCCTCTTCCATTTCCACCAGCGACTACTTGGCCACTCGTCGAACCTAATACGTATTTCATAACTCGATTATTATTTGGATCAGTGACATAGACCGTTTGTTCATCATTAACAAACACACCCATTGGGAAGTAGAGTCGATCGGTTGCATTGGTTCCATTGGGTAGTAAATATCCTTCAGCTACTGTGATAGCACTCTGTTGCCATTGTGCGTTTGGATGAATTTCGACAGCACTTGCTTGCAATGGAACGAACGCTGAAGAAGAATCATCATTAATGTTATTTTATTTTACAGTCAATTTTCTTTTTTTCATCTTTAGCTTTATCTAGGTACTTCAATAGCATAGTTACATTTTCTGATATTTCTCTATCCAACAGGAACAAGAAGTAAATTGTAATAAAAGGTATACGATCTTTCTGCAGTTTTTTTTGAGTAAGAAAAGATTCTCACATCATGATCTTTGTTTTATTCTCTTATATGTCAATTATAATTCTGTAATACGCGAAATACCACTATTGAAAATGAAGTTATTTCTAATGATTCCATCTATCGAAGACTCGCTTTATGATGTCAATCGACTCACTAGAACAATCGAATATTTCTAACATTTTATTATTTCAATCATATGTTGAAACAATTGACAAACAGCCATCTAAACGTATTATTTTACGTTTTAACCATATTTTTTAATATTCATCTATAGTTAAAAAGATCTTTTCTGCATTACTAACTCCACCATAGGGATCGTAATCCAGCGATTTCTATGCTGGTCGCAAGTCCGAGTAAAGGAGGAGCGTTAGACGGAAGGAGTGCAGATACCGCCGTCTGTAAAAAGCAAAAGACGAAAGAAACCAATCATGTATAATCAATTTCAAAGCCTATACCGGCTTGGACGACGCCCGGGTGAACAAGGTCCGTGTCCTCTGTCGAGGAACCAGGGCAGAGTCGAAAAGTTGGCTACTGGAACAAACGTTCGAACAAGGAATGATGGCTATAAATTGAAAACAGCAAAAACAACACTCACTATTGGAACATGGAATGTACAAACATTATGGGCAGCAGGAAAACTGAGGCTCCCAAGACATGAAATGAAGCGCTTCAGTTATGACATAATTGGTATTTCCGAAGTACGCTGAACAGGACAAGGAGAGACATCCAGCGGTGACTTCATCTGGTCAGGAGAGGAAAATAAGCACATATGAGGAATTGGCATGCTACTCAGTAAGAGAGCAAAGTGTGTGCTACTAAGCTACAATTCGGTCGGCTCACGGATAATAACAGCAAGATTTACTGCAACACCATTCAAAATAACAGTTATCCATGTGTACGCGCCAACATCGGAGTCCTCAGAAGAAGACATCGAAGCATTCTACAATATGATACAAAAGATCCTAGCTCTTACACGCAAAAAAGATGTGATCATTCTTACTGGAGATTGGAATGCGAAAGTAGGAAGCGATAACAAAGGCTGAGAGTCCGTAATGGGAAAGCATGGTTATGGAACAAGAAATGAAAGAGATGAGCGATTATTGGAGTTCGCAACAGAAAATGATCTCTTTATCTGTAACACAAGATTTCAACAAAAGGCTTGCCGTAAATGGACATGGACATCACCTGATGGCATTTATAAAAATATGATCGACTTAGTGATTATTCAAAAAAGATGGAAAACAACCATCCTTAACTGTAGGACATTTCAAAGTGCTGATATAAACTTCGATCACTCGCTAGTCTTATGCAACATTAACCTCAAGCTTAAGAAACTATGTACAAGATCACAATACACGAGTATCTATGACGTAAATGAACTGAAAGAGGAACAAACAAAACAGGTCTTTCAAAAGAAATGAAAGAAAAACTTTAAGGATATTCAATCGGATTGCAACGTGGGTGTGGGTGTGTGGGTCTGGATCTGGATGTGTCGGTGTGTAAGCTTTCAATTAGACAGATCCACACCCACACTCACACACACACACTAATTTTTAATGGTTGCTTTTTTATTTAGCATATCACTCGTAAGTGTCTGGGTCTAGGTTTTGTTCTTCTACTGATCAAAACCCTCATCCATATCTTCAAAAATGGTAAACAAACTACTCAATTAAATTTGTATACAACTATGTACGTTTACAATTGCCATATAAACTGAACGAGGCTAAGATTGTGCAATTACAACTTAGGAGTACTTTCAAAAGAACTGAAAAGTACGTTTGGACATTTTGGAGTCTCACGTGATTTCAATAACAAGTTGGTGATTGCAATTTTCATTAAAATTCAAAATGAAACTATACTCCACGAGGCAATCCAAATTTCTAATGGAATGGTATAATCGAAAGCTTGTTCTACTAATTCGATAAAATACCTTTAATAAGTCGAACTTTTTCTAGAAGTAGTCGTATTAAAATATAATTTGCAGCACTTTCAGTAAATAAAACAAATTTACATACGAAAATAATGGTACCGTTTGAATCGAATAATTTTTGACTTGAAGAAATATGCTCCAAGAACAGCAACCGTGATGATTTGTAGTGCATGGGTATAACAGTTCGTTTCTCTCTTATTCACGCTCACAGCCCCAAGATAGTTAATGAGTAGTAGGCGGAAGTGTGAAAAATAATATGATAAATTTTCTCAGTAAGCAAACTATTACTTAATATTGTCAGAAGGACAGAGCTAATAAAAATTGCTGTCTTGCCTGGACGAACTACAATAAAGTACATCGGAAAGTAGAATAGTTAATATTAATTATTACACAGGCGTGAAAACTACCAGTGGTACCCGGATTTTTTTTTAATGTTGAATTCCATTTTCTGAGCACGAAGTCTAGACAAAACTCATGAAGGATGATATCGGATCAAAACAATGATCTTTTGGAAAAGGATTTTGTAGTTTGTGTTTACAAAAAAAACGCAGCATTCCATGAGTCCTTTCGCCTACATGTAAGTTATATCAAGTTTCATCGAAAATTTTCGATTTTCACCTAAAAATAAGTAATCGTTCGAGAGTTATTACATTTCAAATTTCGAACGGCTGTATATGTTTAAGTGAAATTTGAAGTTTGATGTGACTTACTACGAACTTCTAAAAACTTAAGTACTACTAGGCCGCATGAAAATGCTGAATTTTTCATGAACACCAATCACAAAATCATTTTCCAAAAGATCAGCACTCAGGTTCCGTATCATTCTCCATGAGTTTTGTCTAAGTACCATGCTCATTCCAAAAGTATCTAAGATCTTTGCAGTTACTTCTTCTTTTGTGAAAAGTATTTAGAGGAGTACTTCGAAGTTGTTTTTAGAGACTCAACAAAGTGGGGACATGTACTAAAAGTACTTATCAATAGGTTTTTTTTCACTTTTCCTTTGTCCTATGTTTTTCAGTGCAGTAGTTGTCAGTTTGAAGTTATTTGCAATAGATAACTTTGAAAGACATATAATTTATCCTTATAAAAAAGAACAAAAATCGACAGATTCTGCCTAATTCACTAGAAAAAAGTGACCAATTATTAAGGGACTTCGATTCTAATGAGCCTTCAGGTTTTTGTATCGTTGCATACACATTAAATTCGTTTTCCTCTGACATGCTTCATATACTTTATTTAGCCATATGTGAATCGTAAATTTAAACTGATGTAAGTGATGGAGAAACGATTTTTAAAAAAGATGTGTGATTCACATGAATGTTTAGATGAATTAGTGGTTGCTTTCTTACCTTTAATTGGTGGACAAAGTTTTGCATCCATCATTGATACTGAAAAACAAAGAGGACGAACATGACATCGAGGATGATGAACACAGATATGGTCAGATTGGCGACAATAATTATCTGCTCCTTCGCATGGAGCTAAATCAGAGCACGTAACCCATTGAAAGCCACAAATACCAATGTCCGAAGCACCTTCCATATGAAGACAACCACACGCACTATTTGACGAACAGCGGCCATATTGAGATACTCCCTGGCATATTTGAGAGTTCACTTGAGCTATTAATGAACTAAATCAACCACAAAACGTTCGATGAATAGAACAATAATAGATTTCACACTTACCTAAGAAGAAAGAAAACCAAACAACGAAAAATAATTGAAACCATTATTGTTTGAGTTAAAGCGAAATCGAATCACAATGCCGCTTTTATTGATGTTTAGAGGATTAGTGATAGCTTTAAAATTCGTCGTAGGCGAAGAGGCATCTCACCTAATTCTACTATACATAGAAAGCTGATACTATTTCTACCTTTATTCAAACTGTTAATTTTTCTCCTAGATTATCTTTATAGAGGAAAAATGAGTGATGAAAACAATATGATATTGGTTCTTGAGATGCTATCAAAGTACTCAATAGATTCATTCGATTGTTTCATAAGTATCTTTCTTTCATTAAGTATCAGCATACATCAGAATGGGCTTGTAAAACTACTAGCGATCTGCAGGACTATTCCGATTTCTAAAAAATACCGTTTGATCAGTTCTAGTGGACAATTGAGATGATGTCGAAAATTTGTCGAGGCTAGGCATTGAATATCAGGACTTTTTAGAAAAACTCGATGTCTCGAATTTTCCGAATATACGTGTCAAAATATTTCCTATGTTTGAAACTTCTTTTATCTAACAATTATTTTGATATTAGTATTAATAACATAAAAGCAAAATAGTGCCAGTGTGAAGGTTTAAAACAATATCCACCGCTATCTACAATCATATAATCTACACCTACACTCAAAAAAGATATGAGTGTGAGTGAGATTATGCTTTGGAAATGATTTTCGCATTCTCTTTCTTCTCTTATGCAAATATCATTCGATATAAACATCAAAGTCAGTTATGGCATGAGTGTGAAGATTTGTGGATGGAAGAAAAGTTAGCGCTGATGGAACTACGCTTTATTGTATTTCTTCCTATCAAGAATCACATCGTTTACATACAATGCATACGCTTACATATTCGTTCATAAAAGAGAATAGAAAAGGAAACGACAACAAGGACAGAAGAAAATGAAAATATGATAGGGACGAAGTACAACACAATGTACTCAGTAAGGACAGAAATATAAGAACAATACATAAGATGAGAAAAAATAGAAAGAAGAGGAAAAGCATCATGCATATAATGCATGCTACGGAGACATTACAAGGAGTATAGTATGAAAAAGCTTGTTAGCACAGCTCCAAAGGAGCTGAAATATGGAACTCACGTATATCTTTTAAAATTTTTTATCCAGATACCTGTTTTTTAAACTGCAAAATAGCCGTTTTTCGAATATCTAGGAAAGCATTGATATATTGCATAAAATCTAAAGCTTTTTATGCACGGTTGCTGAGGTCTGTAGTTGGGAAGGGGAGTGAGCCGCCCAAAACTTGAACTTAAAACTTACATTCACTATTTTCTTCGAAAATATACGTGAGTTCCACAAAACAACTGGAAATAAATTCATATTAGCGTGTAAATGTGAATTCTCATTTTTGCACTACCAACGTTATCCCGCATACCTAACACCCAGATTTGATATTCCTTACCATATTCACGAGTAAAACAAATTCAAGAACAATACTTCCTAGAATTAATTTTGTTCAGTACGCTGTAGTGGTGTACACTATTGACGTTCATGTCATGAAGAATTGACAAAAATTCGAACTTGGCAAAATCTAGCTTTCTCATTGAAAATATATGATTAAAATGTTTTTCTGTAATTCAATGTTTGATTCCGAAATAATCGATTGTAATCAATTTTCTTATAAATCTTCTGTTTGCCAGAAAAATGTAGACACGGGTTGTTATTCAGTTCTAGATGCCTGTAAGTGTGAATGAGGATGTGGGTGTCGAGAAAGGCAAAGCTTAATCACACAAACATCCATACCCACTTGGTCATTTACCTCTTGTTAAATTGTAATACGCAATTTTCTTATAGGTGAACATA